ACTAAAGCAAAGATACGCTAAACAGTAAATCTTATGCAAGAACCGATAGGAAAGCAAACATCAACCCTTCCTTGAAGTGTCAAATTTGACAATGAACCACTCCCACGTGTATAGCGCTATTGCGTGTCCCATGTGCAGTTCAGTGGTTCTGTTGGGGCGATAAGTTTTTCATCTATGAACATACTCTCAAAGCATGTCAAATGTCCATGACTATTTATCATATCGCAACCTGCATAGATATTTGCATTTCAATATCCCCTATTTTTTTAAGAGTATATGATCAGGCTTTTTTACAGCATGACATGACATGACATGATAAAGCTAGCTTACAGTATAACATATGATAAGGCTAGCTTACACTATCCCATACATGGTAAAGCTAGCTTCCAGATATATTTAGTCATTACATTAATAACAATAATTAAAACTACATACATTTATCTTGATTTTATAACACATTTAGCACCAAAATACTGACAAATAATAAATAATGAAAGCAACAAAGGAAATGCTTTACACAAGTATTTTTTTGTTATAATAGGTAAGTCATGCAATCACAATATTACAATGTTAATATGATAAACAGATGAATCTAAACAATGGTTGCAAGACTAAAACTCGGGTCAAAACAAAGTGTTGAAATTTGCCGACTTGATCATTGATGCCACAGACTCTTTATTTGTAATTTTTTGTTTTAAAAGATTAAGTAGAAATCAGATTATTAATTTTAATTTTGGCTTACTGTGTACAAAGTGGAACACACAATCAGTTTATCTCAACACAGACTTTATCTATAGGCATACAAATGTCACTGAAGAGGGACTAACATCTAATCTAACAACCCAGTATATAAAATCAAATGAAATCAAGAAATTCTGTTTTGACCTATATCAAAGAGGTTTAACCATTTTGATCATGTATAAATCATGATTTCAATGATGTCAAATGGAACAGTCAATATGTGATATGCTAGCTATAAGTTGGATGTGTTTAACTAAATATTGGTAAGGTGACCCGTAGAGTGAAAATTTTCTCTACAGAAAGTTGGACTACACGGCGAATGTGCACGCTTCAGTGGCTTGTCTCGAAGTGATTTCTGTTTAACCACGCAGTATATGAGACTATAAATAGCCATCGCACATGCAATTCTCTACACATCTATTAACTATTACAGCCGTAAAAAATCTATTGTTGATGATTCTGAATAGCAGTAAAATTTAGCTTTTTGGTTATTACAGCAGCTTTAGAAATTACGTTCCTTTTAGTTTTTAAATTGCTTTATCATTAACTGTACCGTTAGTAGTGGCATCTTTTGGTTTAGTACAAATAATATCTCTGAAACACTTTCGTTAGGCAAGAACATGATACTAGCAGTAGTTTTACAAGGTTACGTGCGTGTTTCTAAATTCAATTTCTTGTTGCTTGCTTTCTGTTATGTTTCATAAAAAAAAAGTAGTCTTGATTATTCCGGCCCGTCAGTCAGACGTAGAATGGTCAGTAGACTGGTTAAGCGAGACTAATTTCAAAACAAGGGCACGTAACCTATTTTTTACTCACAAGTGCCCGGATGTTATGGTCGACACTCGTAACCATCTTTAAGTGTTCATAATAACACAACTTTATGGATTTACTACTTCTTGGTTTATTACATGCAACGTTTCAATACTCTTACAGGTATCTTTATCAAGCAATGATCAATAATGAATAACAACCTACATTTATAGTACATTCATGAGTAAGACAATAACAACATAACATTAATTAATGGTTATAACAACAACATTTCCCTTTGAAAATGACTTCACAATCTCTCTTATTAACAGATAAAACGGGGACTGAAGCCACCGCCAAGACTTAATAATCATACTATCAAAACCCCTTAGTACTATCAAAACATCAATAAATTGGTTAATTTTCTTTGAGTATGTCATCTAATAATATGGTACTTTAACTTATGTGTATGTAATAAGCATAATCAATCGGGTGATTACGCTCTCCTCCTTCGTTATGATCATAATCTTATAACATAACACTCAAACCATGTCCCTATGTATAAACCACAATAACAACCTATGTAAAATCATTTAGCATCAATGAAATCTATTGTTAACTAATGGAGGGCCCCAATCTACCTGCATTACGTTAATAAGTCATTCCATACATTTGATATTGCTCGACCATTATCTTTATTTATTTTAGGTTGATGTCTTCGTATTTCTAAGGCTTCCCACAAGACTCTTTTTCCATGCTTTAATGTTCTTTGTCAGCACATTGGTGTTATCCCATTCTATATTATGGGTAGGATTTTCTATATGTTCGGCTACTGCAGATTTATTGGGTTCCGAAAGTCTAGTTGCTGCTTTTTGTGTTCTTTGAGTCTCACTGATAACGGGCGGCACGTTTCCCCTATGTACATGGATTTGCAACTGCATAGGATCTGGTACATTATGCCTTTCGGGTCCACATTTGGTATTTTTGTTCTCCCATTGGCATTGATCAGTGATTTTAATGATACTCCTCCACTAAATGTTACATCTATTTGCAATCTGGTTAGTAATCTTTTAATCTTATGACTTGTTGGGCCTATAAATGGAATATTAATATGGATTGGAGCTTTTTTTTTTAACGGTCACGTCGGGGGCTTTATTCAGTTTTTCAGTTGTACTGCTAATAACTTTCTTCACAAATTCTAATGGGTAGTTGTTGTATTGGGTTAGGGTTTCAGTGATGTGTTTAATTTCTTCTTCAATTTTACCATTGGTGCAAATATTGTGAGCTCTTCTGGTCAGTATTGACACAATTCCCGCCTTGGTTGTTGTTGGGTGGGCAGATGCGAAGTTAATATATTGATCTGTATGTGTCGGTTTTCTATACACTCTTGTCGTTACTTTATCATCATTTCTGTCAATTAGGATATCCAAAAAGGGTAGCTGTTTATTATTTTCTTCTTCAACTGTAAATTGTATTCTTGGATGTATGGAGTTGAGGTGGTGGAGTAGTAGTTGGTGATCATCCTCTTCCTTCATTACAGCCAACACATCGTCCACTTTTCTAAGCCAAATGCTAGGTTGGACTGGGGATTTTATTAGGGCATTTTCTTCGAAGGCTGTCATATAGATTTCAGTGATAACCGGATTTATTGGTGGCCCCATTAGTAACCCATGGATTTGTTTAAATACTTTATCTTTCCATGTGAAATATGTATTGTTTAATGGTTGAGAGCGAGACATTAAGTAATATATTGTAACAACAAGAGGACCGTCAGGTCCGAGTGTTTTTACAATATATTACGCAATGTCTTAACCTCGAGACCATTAAACATCTTAAAATACAGACACTCCGCACGTGCGTTTACAGTGAAATACGTCACTCGAGTCTAATATTTGACAAGGTACGATTGGCAAGTTGCCCGTACGATTATTTGAAATAATGGTACGCCAACATCAAAGGGTGACGTCACATCTGTATTTTAAGTGGATTTAATACACAATTGTAACAACTTCTTTATACTATCCGTACTTATTCTGGTGTTGAGGTTGGTTGTTTGATTTTGAATTTTTTCCCGAACACAATTCAAGGCTTCATCGATTTGTATACTGGTAAATAAGTCCACAACATCATAACTGATAAGTTTGCCTAGTTGGGGTTGTCTCTCTATTTTTTCCCGAAGTTCCTTACTATTTTTAATATATGATTCTGCCGACTTTTAATTCAGACAGTAAATTTGACAGGTATCTGGCTGTGTGGTTGCTCTTGAGCAGATAAGTAATCTTACTTTGACCGGGTTCTTGTGTATTTTAACTTGAGCTTTGGCATATGGTGTTGTTGGGTGCAAGATATTGAGTTTATCATATGTCTCTGTATCGATCTCACCTGATTCTTTGAGTATTTTTAAGGTGGCTTTAAGTTTTCTGTCTAGTTTCTGCGTTGGATCTTTTGGTAACTTGTTATAGGTTGTTAAATCTGACAGGGTTTGGTTCACCATTTCGTCTAACTGATCTGTATCCATAATAACGGCGGTTTTCCCTTTATCTGCTGGTACAATAGATATTTCTTTATTATGTTTTAATTCTTTGATGGCCTTACTTTCATTTTTCGTTAGGTTTGGTTTTCGGTTGATGGGTTTCTCAACTAATTTTCTAATTTGGTGTCTTGTAAAATCAATATTACCACCTGGGGCTAGCTTTTGTAGTCCTTGTTCTATCTGAGTTATAAAGGATTCTTTAGGTACTATTGATGTAGTTGGTATAAACTTTAATCCTTTTGCTAGTAGCGAGGTGCTGACAAAGAACATTAAAGTATGGAAAAAGAGAGTTTTGTGGGAAGCCTTAGAAATACGAAGACATAAACCTAAAATGAATAAAGATAATGGTCGAGCAATATCAAATGTATGGAATAACTTTTTAACGTAATGCAGGTAGATTGGGGCCCTCCATTACAAATCAATAGTTAACAATAGATTTCATTGATTAATAGTGACATGGTTAAAGAAATGCTAAATGATTATACATTTGTTGTTATTGTGGTTTATACATAGGGAAATGGTTTGAGTGTTATGTCATAAGATTAGGATCATAACGAAGGAGGAGAGCGTAATCACCCGATTGATTATGCTTATTACATACACATAAGTTAAAGTACCATATTATTAGACGACATACTCAAAGAAAATTAACCTATTTATTGATGTTTTGATAGTACTAAGGGGTTTTGATAGTATGATTATTAATTCTTGGCGGTGGCTTCAGTCCCCGTTTTATCTGTTAATATAATAAGAGAGATCGTGAAGTCATTTTCAAAGGGAAATGTTGTTGTTATAACCATTAATTAATGTTATGTTGTTATTGTCTTACTCATGAATGTACTATAAATGTGGGTTGTTATTCATTATTGATCATTGCTTGATAAAGATACCTGTAAGAGTATTGAAACGTTGCATGTAATAAACCAAGAAGTAGTAAATCCATAAAGTTGTGTTATTATGAATATTATACTTCTAAATGTCATTTAAGGATATTATCTTTAAGTGTATTATTTATAGATGGTTAAATGGTCATAGCTTATTAAGTATAACATGACCGTTTATTTAGTGACTATAAATGTGCGAAACTGATTTAAGGCTTGGTATATATATAAATATTGTGGTTTAAATGTCAAGATATTTGGAGATATTTATTTATGGTGGGTCACCCTAATATTGGATGTATTTAACTAAATATTTCACTGAACAGAGCAACTGAATATCACAGTAAATCTAAATACTGTTTTATCTTCAAGATCATAAAATTTTATAGGAATTCTGTGACATTTTATCTGATTTGCTCTAAGGCTTGTGAAGACTATGTAATATGGAAGTCAAATACCATTACTGTACTTAAAATTTCATACACAGTGAATATTGCTTTGTCAGAGTTACAGCAATTTTTCTGTCAAGTTACATCAAATAAATGAAAGTATGTCTACCATACTAAAAGTAATAGTTTATTTTATTCATGATGAAGGTAACTGTAATATATGTTGTAAGGGAGACAAACTATTAGCAGAAAATGAAATACACTGCCTCCTCCAATCCAAGTTATAGTTATATATGACGGTAGCTTCTTAATCTATCTAACATAGTGGATTTAAAAAACAGAATTATTAATCATGATATCTATATAACAAGACTGCGTGGCTGAATTAGATGACCTAATTAATGTGTAGGTTTTATTTCACCAGATGGGCTATCAACTATTTTGTGTATAATGTTTTAAACTATATTGTGCACTATCTCACCAGATGAACTAACACAAATGTGTGTATGATCTCTTCTCTCAAGTGTATAGTGTATGACCTCACCAGATGAACTATTACAAATTTATGTATGATCTCTACTCTCAAGTGTTTAGTGTATGACCTTTACTCCCAAAGGTTTAGTGTATGACCTCACAAGATCAGCTATAAAAAAAAATTCAATGTATGATCTCTTCAGTTGACCTCATCGGACAAACTATCAAAAATTACATGAATGATCTCATCCGATGAACTAGCAACTATTTATTGTATGAGCCACACCAAATGAACTATCACAAACATTCTCATCTGACTAATTAGGGTGTAACCCGATTACACACACATAGTACTATTCGTGTAAGACTTTAATAAATGTATATCATTCATGATATATCTGTCATAATGCACAGTAAAGTTTAAATTTTTCACATCTTTTATGTTTTAAAAACCTATTTACACATTATAGTTAAATTGGATTTATAAAAAAATATGTTTTTATTCCTATTCATACAAATGTTTTAGATCTATGGGTGCAGAAGTCGTTCTGATGCATCATTATTTTTTTGTCTGCCATCAGCATCTTCATCTGCTGAGAGAAAGACATCTGATTCCTCTGCTTTTTCTATTCTGTTATAACACTTGAGTCTCTCTGAAGATTTGTAAAATTTAACAGATGTTTCGTCAGAATTCACATAAATTGTTTTTGCACTTTGTATACTTCGTTTGAGGAAGTTATCTACCACCCAAAATATAAAAGCCTGAAATAAAGAGTTTGAGAGAATTAACCTTTCATGAAAGTTAAACAAGACTAATCTTAATGGTGGAAATAGGCCTTTCAACGAGTTACTGGTCTCGATGATTCAGACAAACAGTCTTGTATGTCAACATTGAAAATCAAGTATCAAACATATTGACATATTCTGTTAGTCATTAGTATCAGCAATCTCCAGCTTCAGGCCGCCCACATTCAAATCATGGCATAATCTTGTAGATAAATGAGACACATGTTACAAGTCCCTTATTTGAGATATGACACAAAACATGTTGGTTTTAAAAATATTCAATAACTTTTTCTTAAGATAGGTTGCCAGGCAACGAAACATACGCCCACAGCAGCTATATTGTCCGGGCAGTCAACAAGAGTTGTCACATATTTTTACTTTTTTTCGGTAATGAAACATTTATAATACATTAAAATCTGATTAAGAGTAACAACTCATTAAGTAATTATCAGAAAACCATTAGAATTTGTTTGGTTTTTTTAAAGTTCTGCCCCATGCTAACGTTTAGTATACAATACTTTTAACATCATGGATTTAGCTGTTCAAGTCATAAAGATTCTTGAAAATCAATATACTTGTTCGTCTCAAGATCTTAAACACTGTGTATAAATTTAAAGTCAATCGGATATTAACTTTAGCCTCTAGAGCGTCCACAAGATTTTTCAAAGTGATCAAGGCCATAACTCTGGCAAAAATTATCGGAAATCGCTGAAAATCACTAGGCTTCTTCGTCTCATGGTCTTCAACACTGTATATAAATTTAAAGTCAATCGGATATTAACTTTAGCCACTAGAGCGTCCACAAGAATTTTCAAAGTGATCAAGGGCCATAACTCTGGCAAAAATTATCAGAAATCGCTGAAAATTAATAGGCTTCTTCGTCTCATGACCTTAAACACTGTGTATAAATTTAAAGTCAATCTGATATTAACTTTCACCTCTAGAGCGTCCACAAGATTTTTTGAAGTGATCAAGGCCCAGAACTCTGGCAGTAATTATCGAAAATCGTTGAAAATCAATAGGCTTCTTTCTCTCATGACCTTAAACACTGTGTACAAATTTAAAGTTAATCGAATATTAACTTTGACCTCTAGAGCGTCCACAAGATTTTTTGAAGTGATCAAGGGCCATAACTCCCGACAGTAAATATCGAAAATCGCTGAAAATCAATAGGCTACTTCATCTCATGACGAATCGGATATTAACTTTAGCCTATAGAGCGTCCACAAGCAATTTTTATATGTGGGCGTATAAAAATTAATTATTACGTTCTGTAACAACTTCAAAGCTAAATCTTGCGAATGTTTTCACAAATGCATATGTCACATACAAATAATAATTAAGGGTCTCTAAATGCAATGGATGCAATGTTCTGTTTTGATTTTTTGAACTGGTCATATAATTAGCACAGTCACAAGTAAAAATTGACTTTCATAAAGACACAATAATATGTGACCCGTCGTGGCATAATGAGTCGCAATGAGGAAATTTTGAAAATTGAGTTATTGTTATTTTCACATTCTCCAACTCACTGCCTTCAATGTATAGTTTGATGTAATGACTGAGCTGTGTCCATTTGAAGCTACCCAACTCACAAAAGTAAGTTTTGAGAAAAAAACAAGTCAAAGATTTGGTATGTTCCAAAACAAAATCCCGTAGCAAACAGGCCATTTATTTGCTGTTTTGTCATTGAATATATCTTTCCAGGGGTTTTCAGGGGTGCTGAAGACGAAAATTGTAGTAAATGCACTCTTTTCATAACGAAAAATCCACAACACATGCGGCATATTCACATGGTAGTGTTATACTGAAGAACAATCTATACTATGTTTTGTATATTATAATTTTGGTGAAATAATCGCATCAATTAATTCCTTAGTGCCAGCTAGTGGTGAGGAGATTATTAATTTTTTCTTCTTTTTTTTTTTTTAAAATAAGTTTATTGGCTAAATAATACATGAATTCAATTTACAAAAGTACATGGATTGACATAAGGGTACAATTCACAGGCTTAAATAATATAGTATACACTGTACCGGGATGATCAAGGAATCAGAGTTACGATACATCATATTGCCATTTCGAACTAAAATTAGGATTTGCAGATAGTTCAAGTTCAAGCTTGTTTCTTATGTAAGCCTTATAATGTTCGATGAACGGTGTTTTACCTGTGCATTTTAATTTGAAGATGAAGTATTTTGTCAGAAGGATTACATAATTGATGAATTCTAACTGGGATTTGTTTTCAATTTGCTAACACCGTCATGTAAATTGTAATATCCAAAATGTATGACAGAAGGAGATAGATTACTGTATATTCTATTTTTAATTAAGATGCCATTAAGAGTATTCCACAAGCATTGAGAATAAGGGAATTGAATAAATAGGTGCTCTTCAGTTTCCAGCGTGCTGTGGCAGAAATCACATAGACTCGAAGCTACTTTTCCAAATTTAAATAATCGATTATTTGTGTATATTATTTTGTGTATGTATTTAAACTGGAAATTTCGAACTTTTATATGTGTACAAATGTTATGACTTAAATTAAATATGGATTTTATAGTTTTTTCATCTATTTGTCTACCTAAATATTCTTCCCATTTTAATATAGCAGTGGGTTTAATAAACCTCGCATTAATTCTTTTAAAATAGATATCCTTTGACTTTAAAGTGTCTGAATGAACATTATAAAATAGTTTCAAATTATTTATTATATCAGTGTATATTCTTAATTTATAATCACCTATGCTCGCAAACGAGATATCTATTATTTCGTTTTCAATATTTATGTTGTAATATTTGCATAATTTACAAATTGCAAGTTTCAAACCCCCAAAAAGGAATCTTTCGATGGACTTAAGTGCTGTGGCTGGATAGTTAAGGAAATCCTGTATAAATATTAAATTCCTACTCAAGAATTGTAATGTGTCACTGGTTGTTTTGTTATTCAAGTTTTTATTAATATACGTTATTTGATTTGTTATTGGAACCATATCTCCGATTTTTGAATTGTATATAGTATACCAGTTTGTGAAAAGTTGTTCATAGAAATTAATACTAAATTTTGCATATTTAGGGTTATAATTACTTCCAGATAAGAGTATGGTGAAATGCAGAATGAAAATATTTTAAACCATAGGCTAGTATTGTCTGTGAATATCTTATTAATCCAAAAGAAGGATTTACATGTTAAATATTTGTGGATGTCTACCATTTTTAAACCACCATGAGAGAAGTCCTTACAAATCACGTCCCTTTTTATTTTATCTTGTCCCTCCCAAAGAAAACTGTATAAAAGTTTGTTTAATTTATCGGCAATATAATTAGGAAAATAAAGTGACTGTAGTTGGTGGGAAAGTGTAGAAAGACAGAATGTTTTTATTACTACTATTTTACCCATCAATGTCAAATTTCGTAATTTCCAGTTATTTAAAATGTTTTTTAATTCATTAAGTTTATTTTCAAAGTTCAACTGATTACGGATTTTTGTGTCAGATGAAAAATGAATGCCAAGGATTTTAATTGAGGAGGTACATAGGCGACAAACCTAGTTTTTTTATTTGCTGTTCAAGGTCAGGGATTTTCGAGTTAAGATCAAATGCTTCTGTTTTTGAAAGGTTAACTGATAGACCTGAAATGAGTTTAAATTGATTTAAAACTTCTATTAAATGGCGTGCTGATTTATAGTCACGTAATAAACATGTGACATCATCTGCGAAAGCGATAATTTTTATTGTTGAATTACCAAATGTGATACCAGAAATATTACTATCATTTCTAATATATGTACATAACGTTTCGAGAATTAAATTAAACAAATTTGTTGACATTGGGTCGCCCTGTCTAACACCGCACTCTATTGGGAAATAGTTTGTTGTGTAGCCTTGATTTATAACTGCACATTTTATGTTTTACTACAGTGTTTTGATCCACCTAATGAATTTCCGTTTGAAACCTAAATAGCGCAAAATTTCAAACATATATGAGTGTGCTATGGAATCGAATGCTTTAGTGAAGTCGATAGCCAGGAGAAAGCCAGTAATTTTCCTTTGTTGAGCCAAGCTAAAGCAATCATCTAAAATTCTTATATTTTCATAAATATGTCGCCCCGGTACAAAGGCTGTTTGACTAGGGTTGATAAGTTTTTCTAAAAAAGGTTTCAATCTCATACAGAGAACTTTACTGGCTATTTTTACATCAACATTAATTAAAGTTATCGGTCTCCAATTATTTAGTTCTAATTTATTCTTTTTGGGTTTGGGAATTAGTTTTATAACAGATTGACGCTGGCTTACCGAGAGGCATTCTTGTTCAAAGTCCTCATTTAATGAGTCCAGAACAGCTGAGCTTATTGAAGGCCAAAAGCACAAGTAAAATTCCGCAGTCAGTCCATCATTACCCGGCAAAGAACCAAACTTAAACGAGTCTACTGCAAACTTACACTCTTAATTATCCAACTTATGTTCTAAACAATCAGCCTCGTAATCGTCAAGAAATGGAGTTGAATTTGAGTTATTAATATATTTTGAAATTCCATTATTATTAGTGGATTTCTCGGAATACAGTTGTTTACAAAACCTCTCGATTTCTCTCATGATCTCATTAGGATTATCAATAATTTCATTATTGGAGATGTTAAATAATTTACTTAATGTTATAGCAGTCTGTTTTAGTATTCTTTTCGCCTTCGACGTAATACTTGACCTTAGCCTGTATTGGAGCACCTTCACTTTCATGTCTATACAGGGTTTCCAGTTTTTCCTTAACATGTTCAAACTGAGTGATGGTACTTTGATTACCTCCTTCGAGGTTCGATTCTAGATGTTCGTATTCTTTCAGTAGAGATTGCTTCAATGATTGTTTGACTTTTTGTTTTTGTTTACTGTATTTAATTGTACATTCTTTAATTTTATATTTCAAATAGTCCCACAAACCTCGTTTGTCAGAATAATCGAAATATTCGTTTTTCCAATTTGGTAATGAGTTTATTATTAAATTTTTGTAACTTTGATCAGAGACTAGAGATGAGTCAAATATCCTTAAGTTTGGTCCGCATTTAAAATCTGATATTTTCAGAACTAACTGTATCGCGGAATGATCACTAAGAAAGCATGGGATTATTTTCGTATCATGAATATTTTGTAAAGAACTTTGAGATGGTAACCAAAAATCTATTCTGCTGTGTATAGGAGGGGATTTTTTTTTCCAAGTAAACTGTTTTATATTAGGATACAAAGTTCTAAATATATCAACTAAATTAAAATCCTTAATAATTTTTAAGATAATATCTTGTCCTTTCTCTTTTTAATGCGATAATTGCCACCTAGTCGATCTAAATTTTTGTCAATAATGTTGTTAAAATCTCCCTCTAAAATTATTGTTGACTCACAGTTATCAGTAACATCTTTAATTTTATCATATAACTTATTATAATAAAAATCCTGATCCTTATTATTTTCACATACCGTAACGGTATCAAAATATGAGTCCCTATAGAAATGTCAATTTCATTGGCAAGAAATGCTTACATTCACTTTCGTGCATTTTGGCTTTGGTGTAATTAAACAATGGCAGAATGTTTTTCCCACCCGAGAATCGTTATATTTCGGCACGTCCCAAAGCATCAACCAATCAGATTGATATCTCTGCTTACCCTAAGCAGACAATATTCATCATCAAACTCCATCAAGGCATTCACCTAATGAACGCCTACGCCAAGTTTGAACATTCTACAAGAAGAGTTATTGTGTTCCAAAGTCTCGGCCAATCATATTGCTTATCGCTCTGCTTACCCTGAGCAGAATTTAGTTAAGGTATTGATGTAATGAAACTATACACCAAGTTTCATCACTCTCACCTAATTAGAACTAAAGTTATCGTGTCCCAAAGCATCAACCAATCAAATTAGCAGAAAATGTTCATCTTCGAACTGCATTAAGGCATTGACCTAATAAACACCTACACTAAGTTTGAACATTCTAGCTCAATTAGAATGAGAGTTATTGTGTTCCAAAGTCTCGGCCAATCAAATTGCTTATCGCTCCCCTTACCTTGAGCAGAAATGGTCATTATCGAATTTAGTCAAGGTATTGATGTAATGAAACTATACATCAAGTTTCATCACTCTCACTTAATCAGAACTAAAGTTATCGTGTCCCAAAGCATCAACCAATCAAATTGCTTATCTCTGCTTACCCTAAGCAGAAAATGCTCCTCTTCGAACCCCATCAAGGCATTGACCTAAACACGTACGCCAAGTTTGAACATTCTAGCTTAATTAGAAAGAGAGTTATTGTGTCGCAAAAAAGTGTGGCGGACAGACGGATGGACGGACGGACGGACTGACGGACGAACCCATTTTAATAGTCCCCTGTTTTCTTTGAAAGGCGGGAGACAACAATAATATCCAATATGCATTCCTTACTTTGCATGCTGTATGAAGAAGCGACAGTAAACAGAATTCAGCTATCAATAAAATTCTCTTTGAAAAGAAAATTATTGGCCATTTTGTTTATTTCCATTTAAGGCCTATAAATTATTTTTTTAAAGATGAAATGATATATCAAATGATCACCGCTTGGATTAATTATTCAGAGTAAATAATTAGTTGTTGACGGCTTTATCCATGACAGTTGATTAGTATTACTCAATGAAACCCGCTTGTCGATTAATTTACATAATTCTGCCATGTGATTTTGACTAACACTCAAATGCAATCTATATATGATCAGAATTAATTTTTTTTCTGACACTTATCAGAGTTAATCGCATGTAATAATTAGTTGTTGACGGCTTTATCCTTGATCCATGACAGTTGATTAGTATTACTCAATGAAACCCGCTTGTCGATTAATTTACATAATTCTGCCATGTGATTTTGACGAACACTCAAATGCAATCTATATATGATCAGAATTAATTTTTTTTCTGACACTTATCAGAGTGAATCGCATGTAGGTACCCAAAAACATTATCGCCAAAACCAAATATCTATTGTCCGCTCGAGCCAGGCACGTAACCATAATACTTTGCACACAGTGTCTTGGCCAATCAGCAAAAGAGTTGTGTAGACAGGTAGCAACAAGTGGAGTTTATTTACATTTTTTAGGGGTTTTAAACCTCGATTGTATCTGTTCAAAATGAATTCATCAGCAATATTTTGGTCATATCTGTAAACTAGAAATTCTCCGCTTATGCAAGGGGAATGACCGGTCGTCCCGCTGCGAGCGAAGAAAAATAACTAATTTCGCTGAGAATTTTAAGAAATAGGGCAGATTTAAGAATATGGTACTCTTACAAAATGTCCAAATAAAGGTGTTCTAAAATCTTTTATTGCAATTTTGATCTTTTGTGTCTATCGAGAGTATATTTATAGACTTATTTTTGTGAAAATCTCAATTTCGATCAAAATCAATATTTTCACTTATTTTGTCTCTAGTTCAAAATTAGATAATGTGCATTCCGACTCACTTTGACAAACCGGAAAGAAATCAGTAGGCAGAACAGAGATCTACATCTTCTGTATTACAACAACAACTGTCTTATAATTCTCATAATCTTGTAATTTCTACCAACAACTCTGAAAAGTAAATACTAGTAATATTTATACTTACATTTACAACTAAGGGCACAAGAAACATAACTATCACTAATTCAAATTGTGGTTCCGTTATTGGAGTCATAATGAACTTGCGCACCTGGAAAGAAAATTAAAATTTCATAAATTAAATACTTAATCTCATCTGTATTCTACTGTATAGATAGTGGAAGGATAGATTTCTATACCTACAGGTATTATTTGATTACTAGGTTACTTCACAGATTTTGATCAATAAGATTGTCTAATTCATAAAAAAACAACCATATCGAGTTGCATGGAGTTAAAACATACTATTTTGTGGTCATCTACAAACTCATTGAATCTTACAAACCATCACATTATCAGATAGGCTATCTATCCTTACTTGTAAACATTACTTCTTAAATTGCCTGGCTATCAAATTAATGTTTGTTTATAGTAAATGAACATTACTTCTTAAATTGCCTGGCTATCAAATTAATGTTTGTTTATAGTAAATGAAGTGGTACAGAGCTAAACAAAGTTCATTATTCAAGAATATTACAAATACCAAGACTGTTACAATTTCTAAATTCATATACATATTCATCAATTAGTACGATTAAAAGCTGATTAATGAAGATAAATTATTCTGGCTTGTTTGTATTACATGTATCTCTACTAATATAAGTTTTATCACTTACATCTGTCCAGAAGCGGAACTGCACTAACAAAGTCATGAGAAATTTTTCTACCAACACAACCAGAATATATAATAGGCATTGTCCTATCCATGATGTACAATTTGGAGGGTCACCTGTAAAAATAAAAACATTATATGTTTCGCATGATTTTTTGCAGTTGGAAGCAAGGCTATATTTGCCAAATGGCAGTAAGAGGAATTTATGAATAATAACAATCCAATGCAAAAATCAAACATTGGAACAATTAAAAAAAATCGGCTATGCACTTGAATATGTCTACTATCCAGATTAGTATATGTGCAGTGAACATCCAGATCAGGTATAGTGTCAGAAAAAAAGATGGAGGAAAATTTCTGTAATTTTATTTTATTTTTAAAATTTGTTTTGAATTAAACTTTTTCTTATTATAAGATAGGTTGCCAAGCAACGAAACATACGCCCACAGCAGCTATATCGTCCGGGAAGTCAACAAGTGTTGTCGTATATTTTTACTTTTTTCTGTAATGAAACATTTATAATACATTAAAATCTGATTAAGAGTAACAACTCATTAGGCCACACAAAATAAATGTCTTGTTTCTCGGGCAACTGACAGCTGAAACTGTAGGGAGGGAGGGCGGTTTCTTTTTTTTTTTTTACTCATTGATGGTGCAAAATAAAATTTGGCTATTGCTGAAAATTGTTGGGGCGGGAGGGCGGTCTTTCTTTTTTTTTTTTTTTAAATGAGAAAGTCATTACTTGTTTACGTTTTTGCTTTCCGTTATATTCAACTTTATTGTACATACTTAAAACATAAACCCAAAATCAAGTCTACTAAAACACTGAGACTGAACACTGACTGAAAGGAAAATAATTTTCCATATTTAATTCACATAATTGAAATTGGTTTAAAATAAAATTCCATATACGACTATGTAATAGCCCTCCATAAAGACAACAATATTTTTAAAAACTAAGCCTCTTTCACCAGGTGTATCAAAAATAATAATCATGGTAAACAGTATTTAAAACTAAATCTAGTATCGCCGGTTTATTTATAATTATTTACCGAATTCCAACCAATGCATGTCACACCGTGTCATCGGTATTGGAGATTGCCGGAAATACTGTTTCTTGGGATATTCGGTGTGTTTCTCAGGATATTCGGTGTTCTATCCGGTGTTTATATTGAATGACTATTTAAATCTAACTAACAACTGGTCAGTAAAACCATCAAATCGGTAATCCAATTATTATTTTCCGGATTATCGAAACTACCGTAAATGTGCTAATAATGACCCAGATTCTAAGGTATGCATTATGACGACTATCGTCATCGTATCGTATTCTTAGCTATAATTAATTAACCTGTTCTACGGTTCATTATTTTATCAATAGGATTTTCCAAACAAGGACCGACTGAAGCCGGCAATAATGAGCCGATTACGATCGAATGATTGAAATATTGTCGCCAATGACTTTTAACACGAATCAAATTCTAGTTTATCAGGGGAGGTAATTAATATCACGTGATACAAAATGGAGGTTCTTTCGATATCAATAAAAAAGGCAAATCTGCCAAACTTCGCCATTGTTCGGATAAAAAAGACAGCATGTTCATCTGAATCAGTTTTAATACATTTGAATAGATATACATGTATGGCGGATGTAGGTACATGCGGGATATTTTTTTTACGACTTGCTTGTCGATGTGCGGGCGGGCGTTACATATTTATTTTTTTTCATCAAGACTAATAAATAGACTGCACGCGCAACCAATTTTGCGTGCGGGCGGTGCCCGAGAAACAAGTTATTTTATTTGTGTTGCCTTAAGTAATTATCAGAAAACCATTAGAATTTGTTCGGTTTTTATAAAGTTCTGCCTCATGCTAACGTTTAGTATACGAAACTTTTAACATCATGGATTTAGCTGTTCAAGTCAAGACCTTAAACACTGTGTATAAAATTAAAATCAATCGGATATTAACTATAGCCTCTAGAGCGTCCTCAAGATTTTTGGCAAAAATTATCGGAAATCGCTGAAAATCAATAGGATTCTTCGTCTCATGACCTTAAACACTGTGTATAAATTTAAAGTCAATCTGATATTAACTTTAACCTCTAGAGCGTCAACAAGATTTTTCGAAGTGATCAAGGGCCATAACTCTAGCTGTAATTATCGGAAATCGCTGAAAATCAATAGGAAACTTCGTCTCATGACCTTAAACACTGTGTATAAATTTAAAGTCAATCGGATATTAACTTTGACCTTTAGAGCGTCCACAAGTGATCAAGGGCCATAACTCTGGCAGTAATTATCGAAAATCACTGAAAATGAATAGACTTCTTCGTCTCATGACCTTAAACACTGTGTATAAATTTAAAGTCAATCAGATATTAACTTTAGCCTCTAGAGCGTCCACAAGATTTTTTGAAGTGATCAAGGGCCATAACTCTGGCAGTAATTATCGGAAATCGCTGAAAATCAATAGGCTTCTTCGTCTCATGGCCTTAAACACTATATATAAATTTAAAGTCAATCAGATATTAACTTTAGCCTCTAGAGCGTCCACAAGCAATTGTGGACGCCGGACCGACGGACGGACCGACCAACAGACAGACGGGGGCGACGACAATATACGACCACATTTCAATGTGGGCGTATAAAAAGCCATGACTAGAACTTAAGAACTCACCATAAACACCAAAATATAAAGATTTCCATTGTTTTCTTCTGGCTATTATCTGTGTAACTTTTAAACCTATATAAATAACTACTAAACCAATGGTAGAATCTAACAGAAAACTAATAAAATACCTGAAATAGAGATAATTAATGAGAGCTTACTTAAAAAAGAATCATGGAAGATTAGATAAAGAGCTGACAGTTCTCGCTATAATAGTTAAAAAATAGATAATGTAAAAGAAATATGCTGAAAATTGCAGTCAAATTACTTCACCCCAAGTCGAGAAATCCTCGTTTCAATAACACTGTAGCCTCGATTGCCATTGTTACCGTTGTTACGATAATAAACAAAGTCTCGATTATCCATTTTTACGGCTAATCTTCAACAGCCGTTGAACTACAGATCGATTACAAATCTGTTGACCGCGGTCCATAACATTTCATTATATGAGTCATTGAGTCCCATACCTTTGTCCTGACAATCAAAATCTTATTTCTACTTGGTCTTAGCAGAAAATGCTCATCATTGAAGACCTACACCTAATTTTAACATTCTACCTCAATTAGAAGCAGTTATTGTGTCCCATAAAGTGTGATGGACAGAGAGACAGCCGGAACCATTTGAATAGTTCCATGCTTTGTTCGGCAAGCGAGGCACAATGTTTCCCCTCATAACACAGATAACTTCACTGATTTTACACATATTCTCACTTCAATAACCTCAATGTCAATCCTCTAGAAATTTAACTGTATTTACATTGTTCACAAAAAGTAAAAGTTTAACCATAAACCTACCATGTACAAGGATCATTATGATCACCCTGAAATTTATCAGCTAAAAAAACATTGGCAAAATGTATAACAGCAGCACCAAGAGCTTGTTTCGATGTATCAAAAAACCTGTAAGATGGGATATTGTTATTACTATTAGACATGAAAGTATAATAACTATAAAAGATGCTGTCCTTTTCTGATCTGATCTCATCAGATTGCATTAATAAAGATAGGTTGCCAGGCAACGAAACATATGCCCACAGCAGCTAAATCGTCCGGGCAGTCAACAAGAGTTGTCGCATATTTTTCCTTTTTTCAGTAATGAAACATTTATAATACACTAAAATCTGATTAAGAGCAACAACTCAGAAAACCATTAGAATTTGTTTGGTTTTTATAAAGTTCTGCCCCATGCTAACATTTTGTATACAAAACTTTTAATACTGTTTGATGGATTAAGCTGTTCCAAGTCATAAAAATTCATTGAAAATCAATATACTTGTTCGTCTCAATATCTTAAACTCTGTGTATCAATCTGAAGTCAATCGGATATTAACTTTGGCCTCTAGAGCGTCCACAAGATTTTTCAAAGTGATCAAGGGCCATAACTTTGGCAGTAATTATCAGAAATCTTTGAAGATCAATAGGATTCTTCGCCTCGTGACCTCAAACACTGTTAATAAATTTAAAGTCAATCAGATATTAACTTTCTCCTCTAGAGCATCCACAAGGTTTTTTGAAGTGATCAAGGGCCATAACTCTGGCAGTAATTATCGAAAATCACTGAAAATCAATAGGATTCTTCGTCTCATGACCTTAAACACTGTGTATAAATTTAAAGACAATCGGATATTAACTTTGGCCTCTAGAGAGTCCAAAAGATTTTTTGAATTGATCAAGAGCCATAACTCTGGCAGTAGTTATCGGAAATCGCTGAAAATCAATAGGCTTATTCGTCTCATGTCCTTAAACACTGTGTATAAATTTAAAGTCAATTGGATATTAACTTTCGCCTCTAGAGCGTCCACAAGATTTTTTGAAGTGATCAAGGGCCATAACTCTGGCAGTAATTATCGAAAATCGCTGAAAATGAATAGGCTTCTTCGTCTCATGACCTTAAACACTGTGTATAAATTTAAAGTCAATCGGATATTAATTTTGGCCTCTAGAGCGTCCACAAGATTTTTTTGAAGTGATCAAGGGCCATAACTCTGGCAGTAATTGTCGGAAATCGCTGAAAATCGATAGGCTTCTTCGTCTCATGACCTTAAACACTGTGTATAAATTTAAAGTCAATCGGTTTTTAACTTTGGCCTCTAGAGCGTCCACAAGATTTTTTGAAGTGATCAAGGGCCACAACTCTGGCAGTAATTATCGAAAATCGCTGAAAATCAATAGGCTTCTTCGTCTCATGGCCTTAAACACTGTATATAAATCGGATATTAACTTTAGCCTCTAGAGCGTCCACAAGCAATTGTGGATGCCGGACAGACGGACGGACGCGACGACAATATACGACCACATTTCAATGTGGGCGTATAAAAATGTTAAAAATTACAAATTTTGGATTGCAATTCCTAAAAGCTCATTCACAATAGAAGCTCACAGGAAATGGAAAGTCCTTAGAGTGTTTTTCTGTCCCTTTTCAAATTTAGGGAGCTTCATTGTTAGCTCTCCTGTCCGTTATTCGTTTCGCTCACTGCACGGTAAAAGAAAGGAATGGTGGAAACACAATACTGAGTTGATTTTGAAACAGATACATGTACATGTCACTTCTAATTTTCTAAGACTGTCTGGCACACAGTCTGACGGTGCATAGTTGGCGATGAACGTGGCATCAATGACGATTCCATGTGGACCCCTCACAATAGTAGAAGTACAGGAAGCTGGTGCTACATGTATCTTGAAGATCTTGACAGACAGTGTTGAGGTATTGTCACACAATGCCATTTAGGCCTTGATCAATATCTAGTAGACTGTCTGCTGGAAACAATTGGCCAGTCTCAGAAGGGTACTGGGATGGCATCTAAATCTTTGGGCGAAAGGTCTTGTACTCATGCCCTCTTGAATTCGTGCAATGGCATGTTCTTAGTGTTTGGGTTTCAACCATGACATATCTCTACGTCTTCCACAGAACTGTAGGAGTAATACTGACCCTAGCTTTTTAATACCCACAGCTTATACCCAAATTTCAACACCATAAAAATCATGATCATTGTGTTCTGATGTTGTTACATTCAGAATTACAACATTAAAGTACATCTCTCAAATGGAATCTACAATCACCCATTTGTAAAAGGGCAGCGTTTTCATAGTATCATAGTATCTCCATACATATCTACTACATTTCCACCTTCTTTAAAATATGTTGCATAAACATTGCCGTCATACTAAACATACTGATCTCTATTAAAATGTAACAAATATTTTACAGCTTGAACATGAAATTGTCAGAAACTGACAATATTTATTAAAGGAAAAAAATTAAAACAAATAGTATATACCATATTTTCCATGGGCGTCTTGAGTGTTTAGGTTCACAATATCTTTTAACTGAAAACAAAAGAAACAAGAAAAATGAAAATTTTACCACTGTCACTGGGCCCGTAATCACCATCTCTTAAATCACCTAAACTAGTATGCCACAACTGCAATTTTAAGATGTTTAAAGCTTATGACAAGGCTTCAATCTAAAACATAAATCTTTACATCCTTCATTGTTCAACTCCCATCCAAAATTCTTTATTAATGATATTTCTATTTTTCAATAAGCTAGTTTTCAACACTAATGTATGCAGATTCTACATGCACATAAAATGATTTATGCGTATTTAAAAAGTGCTATAAAAATATCAACATCATGTTATTACATATGCTTATCTAATCCAGGAAAAAGGGTTGTTTTTTTGGTTTTTTTAAAATATTCATATGTACATGTAGTAAGTAAATGTACATGTATATTTAAATTCTAATTTAAATGCTGATATTGACACAATATTGACTAAATAACAGAATAAATAGTCCAAGGTTTGGGTTGTAAAATAATCTATTAAAACTTAAGGTAAAAATAAGGCAGTAATACAAGTACATCTACATGTACTATATGCTGTCATGTACATGTATAGATTTCATTGATTTTTAAAATAATCTTTCTCTAAAACTCTTGATCTTTTAAATGTACAATATTATCAATGACAACAGATGGTATATTATGATATTGACTGAACAAAAAGGTTAAAGTCTTTGTCAACTTTTGGGGAAAAGAATATTTTTATTATATTAACTAGAAACAGTGTTCATTTCAAATCTGAAAGCTGTAAAAATGTTATTATATTCATGACCATGTTAAAATGAAATGTAGGACTGAATTAATTCAGGATGACCTAATTACTTAGCTTTAGCAGACAACTACATTTAATTTACATGTAGTATGTATCAATGTTGTTAATATCTTATATCAAAGTTTTACTTTTCTCCTAAAGTTGGTCTGATTAATGATCGACCCTAACATCTACTTGTTCAAATAGTTTGCTGGAAGCTTACTATTATTTAATTCATCTGCATCTAAATTGGGTGAGGGGACTGAGGAAAACCCACACAGTTAAGAAGCCTCCATGATACCCCTTGTCTAGGGCTGCTTGATATACTGTGATGCGGTATTCCATGGTATACATGCCACGGATCGGTTCAGGGCATGGGCGTCATACATGGGGGGATTGTGGGGGGGGGGGGAGAACCCCCCAATTGTTTTTCGGGGGGGGGGGGGGGTCTGAATATACTTGGACCCCCCAAAATTTACATAGTATTAGTAGGCCCTAAATCCTATTTAATTACAAAAATTATTAGGATTAGTTAAGATTCTATCTGTATAAAACCTGTACATATCCCAATATGGTTTACGTTGCTAAAATAAAACACAGAGAGAATCATCCGGGAACATGTGTGAAGTGAAAAGTAATTGTGTTCCATAAAATTGTGTCTAGTTATACATACAGTACAAGCTACTAATGTAATTTAATAACCCCTTCATTAAGAGCGTGTCCGCAAGAAAACCATGCAGAAGGTGCTAAGGCTTCAATCACAGATATTGACCAAATTTGGTTTATAAGTTGGGATAGTCCCAAAACACATAAATGTGCAATATTAGATAAATCTTTCAATTCCTGTATGAGAAAATTGAAAAAACATTTTTCATATGGTGAAATTGCCAAAATCTGTCTTTTCTCAAATACCAACTTTGGCAAGTCCTTACACCTTTACTATACGTAGCAGAAAGACCAAACTCAAACAGTTTATCGATGACTTAGTGCTGTTACCACAATATTAACTTCAGACGATTCTTGCGAACGAGATCTGTATACGGGCTGGATATCAAAGCCTGTCTAAATTCCCCATTTTTCGTCACCCAAAGTTTGACGCCCTATAGCTACTTCTTTCATGGGGTGGGTTTAAAAAATTTATGCTCACGTGAACAAGCAACCTCCCAACATTTGATACAAAAAATAAAAATGACCGGAATCGACTTGACAAAAACTAGGTAAAGGAAACAATAACCCATGAAATTAACCTGTAATTTCCCTATTTTGGAGATAATTAACCGTAGTAGATAAAAAAAAAACTAACAATTTATTTTCCTTTTCATTCATATGTTGTTTACTACCAGCCCTAAAATACATTAGTATCTGTTTTATAAAAATATCTTGAAAAAAAATACTTTCAAAGGCCTGTAATCGTTCATGGTTCATCTGGCGTCAACGGGAATTGACTTCTGCAGTTGTCCACGACCTTCCATTGGAGTTTCGACGTGCTCAATCTTAACAAACATATCCATTACTCTCAAATAGACATTATTTTAAATAAAATAATCCAACGAAAATGAAAAATTCACCTAAAAGTGAGATTCGAACCACCAACCGCATGACTTCCCCCGACCCACCCTCTCACAGAGTTGCTTGTCCCAGGGCCCCAAGGTCCATGTCGTGGGCCCTGTTCAGGGGGTTTGCCTAGGGCCTCTCTTATTCTAAATCCGGCCCTGAAGGTGCAGCTGACGGTGCCCGAGAGCTGTAGCTACCATACTACACTGTTCAATGTCACCCACTTCGACGCAATTAGGCTTCGTTGCCGTTAATATTTAAGCTTCCACATTTCTGTATTGTAGAAATCAGTGGATGTGTCCCAAAATGAATAGTGGAAACATGCTCTGAAATTAAACATTTTGTAGCCATTTTCGGTAACTTGTTTGAAAATGAAATCTTAAAGAGACAATACAACAAATATGTTAAAGGAACAATACGACAATACCAAATATACAATAAATACAAATACACACTTATATAGAGTACAACATGGTACAAATAATGGCTATGGATATGATGAAAACGTATAAAAGTCAAAAATTTTATTTCTCTAATTAAATTCGCAAAAAAATGTATCACAAAAGCTTTTTTTTAGCACTTTTCAATAAGCTGTATATTTTAAGTATGTTGCATTCTAGTCATTTTTTTTACACCTATGGATACTATGTGCTTAGCACTTCAAAACCAACAAAAGAAATTCTACTTGCGACCATGAAAGAAAAAGTTACAGTGTATCTTTTTCTGCACTATAAGGACAATGTGAATATGGTACCCTAAAACAAGTCCACACAAAATTAGTATGTACTGATTTTTTTTTTCAAATTAGTGCTGGGGTAGAAGTTGACCACCCGCTTTATCAGACAGGGTCAAAATTAGAAGGTTGCTATTCCACCATAGAATGCAGTCTGTGCTTAAAAAAGGTAATAAATACACATGTGAAAACCGCAATTTTACCCATAAAATGAATAATTCCTGTACAGTCCTTTAGAGCGACATCAGACTGTAACCACTTCAGCATGTTACCTCTTGCCCCTAGGGGGTGTCATACCATAAGTTTGATCAAAAACTTCTGACCCCCCATCTTAGCACTTTTTGCGATTTTTATATGGTCTTCTCGCGGATACACTCTTAATATGTTTACTTTTTTAAATCCATTTATAATACACAAAATACTTTAAATATCTATACAACTTTCTTGTAAATGTTAATGTGTATATGTATATAGTATTGTAGTTAACAAGGTGATTGTCAAATATGTATCCTCATAACCTAAAGTTATGTGATCAAGTTTTGTTTCATTTGGATCCTCCTCATAAAAATTGTTGTGTTGTTCGTAACTCAAGCTAACATTCAATATGTAAAAGTCATGAAAAAATATGAATACGGCACCCCCTGACTTAAACATGATAAACATTGTATTGGTGTGATGTTTTAGTTTAACCCCGTAAAATATGCTAAAACAGTGTTTACAGAAGACTGAAACTTTAAAAAAAATTTATGGGGGTGACCCCCCAAACCACCCCAGTGGGAGGGTGACCCTCCCACACTCTCCCCATCGCGCTACATCGGCTGCTGCGCAGCCTCGTGCCTCCGGCGTCACCGATTGTCAACATTTTATATAAATTCATTTGCTGAGCCCCCCAATATATATTTTACGGCTACGCCCCTGGTTCAGGGTACCGGTACTTTAAATTCCGTACCACACAGGGCTCACGCTGTCGGTCGCCAATTATGAAATATATAAATATGAAAGTGTTGATTAAAATTTGATTTTGGCGATAATTTTGGCCATAATGTTTTGCGGTACTGGCGATTCTTTTTCAGAACTGGCGGAAAAAAATCTTAAAATTCTAATCGTATTTATCCTGTATTAACCATTAATTGAGTGTCAATCACGTGGCGGAATACTATCAATTAATAAATTGGCTGATAATCGGGATTGCGTCAATGAGTAATACTTAATCATTTGTCTTAGATTAATGATTAGTTGATTGATAATTGCTAATGATTAATCTAAGCTGTGATTATTTAAAAAAAAAATTTCGTCTTAAAAAAAATGGCAATACATGTAATCAAAATGGCCAAAGAGAATTAAATATTTTGATAGTTGAACTGTGGCTTCATATACGGCATAGATATACAAGCATGGCGATGGGATATCATTATTTCAAATTATATCATCACCACTGGTCGAAAACGTAAGAAAGAGTTGAATAGCAAAGATTCTTGAGTGAGAAATCATTTCGCAATATGTATCATATTAGCGTCGCCAAAATGCTCTAAAGGTGAACGATGGGTATAAATGTAAGCATCTCTTACAAATATAATTGAAATTTATATCATTCTATCAGGGATTCAGATTCTGATACCTTTACGGTACCTGAAAATAACTATAGGCCTATTGTACACGCAACACATAAATTTATAGAAAATTGACAATCCTTGAATGAGAATACTGAAAATATATTATTGTGCAGTACGGTGTTGAAATAGACTAAAGTAAAAAAAAAATAAGCCAACAGTGAGGCTGATGTCCCCCGCCGAAATTGCAAAATAAATAGATGACACATATTAATTAATCGCACATTTATTTTTTCCACTAAGTTTTATCACTCTCTATCAGATAGAATCAAGATTATCTTGTCCCAAACCATCGACAAATGAAATCGATTAGCTCTGCTTAGCTTCAGCTCGAAATGTTAATTATTGAACTCAGTCAAGACATTCACCTAATGAACATCTACATGTACATCAAGTTTAAACATTCACCTAATAGACACCTATGCCAAGTTTGAACATTCTACCTCAATTAGAAGGAGAGTTATTGTGTTCCAAAGTTTTGACCAATCAAATTGCTTATCACTCTGCTTACCCTCAGCAAAAAATGTTCATTATCGAACTTAGTTAAGGTATTCATATAATAAATCTATACACCAAGTGTCCTCACTTTCACTTAAGTAGAACCAAAGTTATCGTGTCCCAAAGCATCAAACAATCAAACTGCTTATCTCTGCTTACCCTAAGCAGAAAATTCCCATCTTCAAACTCCATCAAGGCATTCACCTAATTGACACCTACGCCAAGTGTGAACATTCTAACTCAATTAAAATGAGAGTTATTGTGTTCCAAAGTCTCGACCAATCAAATTGCTTATCACTCTGCTTACCCTAAGCAGGAAATGCTCATTGTCTAACTTAGTCAAGGTATTGACCTAATAAACACCTACACCAAGTTTGAACATTCTAGCTCAATTATAAAGAGAGTTATTGTGTTCCAAAGTCTCCAAAGGTATTGATGTAATAAAACTATACACCAAGTTTCATCATCCTAACTTAAATAGAACTAAGTTATCGTGTCCCAAAGCATCAACCAATCATATTGCTTATCTCTGCTTACCCTAAGCAGAAAATGTTCATCTTCGAACTCCATCAAGGCATTGACCTAATAAACACCTAAACCAAGTTTGAACATTCTAGCTCAATTAGAAGGTGAGTTATTGTGTTCCAAAGTCTCAGATAATCAAATTGCTTATCGCTCTGCTTACCCTGAGCAGAAAATGCTCATTATCGAACTTAGTCAAGGTATTGATGTAATGAAACTATACACCAAGTTTCATCACTCTGACTTAATTAGAACTAAAGTTATCGTGTCCCAAAGCATCAACCAATCAAATTGCTTATCTCTGCTTACCCTAAGCCGAAAATGTTCATCTTCGAATTCCATCAAGGCATTGACCTAATAAACACCTACACCAAGTTTGAACATTCTAGCTCAATTAGAAGGAGAGTTATTGTGTCCCAAAAAGTGTGACGGACAGACAGACGGACGAACCCATTTTAATAGTCCCCTGCTTTCTTCGAAAGGCGGGGGACAAAAAGGATCTTATTAAATTCAAACTGTGCTAATGTATTATGTACAGACATATATTTAAAGTTGTTGTATATTGTATTGTGTATATATATCGGAAAAAAAATATCAACATTTTTTTATATAAAAATCATCATCCATTTTGGCGGAAAAAAATTGAAAGCCAGTGTGAGCCCTGGTACCACAGTTCGTTAAACACAGTACAGATTTTTATTAACCATCTGATCTGTTTTCTTCCAACTCAATTATCATGCAAAGTTATGTCCCCCTGTTGTTCATGTGAGAAGTAGGAAAGATATCTTCCAGCAATGAAATGTGTACTTGTTTTTATTTTTTAAGTAAATATGGAAAGAAAAAATACTGCGATACGTATCGTATCGTGAGGATAGAGCATTGTTACAGCCCTAGATAAAAAAACTTAATCTCTCAACCCTCCGTGTTTCGAAATAAGACATGAGGCCATTACCTTCAACGTAGCACATGCGGGAGCAATTCGCACCCGGCATTTGTAGACAAAATTGACAATATTTTTAATAAAAACAACGATTGATTATTGTTATTTATAATATTTCTGCCAGACCCAACTACATTTAAGCATATAATCCTACCTGAAACGGGAACAAATTGTTGTTTTTAAAATCGAGGCGTTAAGCCGTTACTAAGACCGCCATCTTTTTAAACGATACGCTGTCATCATGAAGGCGGGGCTAAATATAAGGCTTTTATACCAGCCAATTAAAAGGGCAATCTAAAGCAATGTAACTATGAATGGATTTCGATGGCGGTGAACGTCAGACAAAAACAACGCTTCATTAATTTAAACGCGAATATTTGGAGTTAGGCGACAGTTGTGCCACTACATTGGCCTCTGTAAGTTTAATTAATCATAATAGCATAAACTTATCTTATTTTAAAGATGTTACATGCATTAATAAAGAAATTGAGTTTGCCACTTGGAACTAAAGGCATACAATCGTAGCTAAAAACAAATCCATCAGTATATCTCAACGTTTTTAGCTACGTTCTCGTAGCTATTACAGCCCTATCCTTGTCACATGCAACCAGTTAGCCAGAACTACACATGTCCATAGTCCCCACTTTAGAAAAAAACACAACAATAGTAGGTTGTAGCGCAGGCCTGGAATTAAGGCACCTGTTACAGACATTGTCAGGCACAAATTCAGGATTTGTCAGGCACAACCACTTCAGTGCCTGTCATTTTGTCGGACATATATTTGTATGTTTGCAATATTTTTATTGATATCTCTAAATGACAAATAGTAAGAAGTCACTTAGTGCCTGCCATTTTGTCAGGTACCGTACAATCAAAATCATTATTTCCAGGCCTGTGCTACAGCCTACTATTACTATCCTCCTTAAAATAATGATTTAATTCTTGGATAGAATACCAACTAAATACAAACCTATTAGGGATGTAAATGCCACAAAGGCAAGAAGACCTTGTACAAACAAAGATAATGGTCCAAGTAAACTACCACTTCCACAATGTAATTCACTGTCTCCACTGATGCTGTTGTGAGACACATGTTGCAAACCTGATGTGGAATTATTCATTTTGCTAGATCGAATTTGATGAATTAATACTGTATTATTTTTTTTCATGTGGAGTGGAAATATGTTCTTATTCACATTCACACTCATATAATTTACCAAACCCATATTGCCATTTTACAGTGACACTGTATTACAAAAATATAACAACACTGTATTTTTAGCTCTTAATTCGAATCTAAAATCAGCCCTGGTATAACTTTATTTTAATCTTGATCACGTCCTGATGGAACCTAGAATTGGAACAGTCACAGTGGTTATTATTGTGATAATTCCATGACTATCCTGTATCCATCTACAAATACAAATGACATTCGTGTATTTAAAAATAGGCAGCTGATTTATCCACGTTGGTTACACTACGACAGACAGAAAGTATTTTTAAAACACCTTTTCTTGACTTATTATCGTCTGTTTCGAATCAACACTACACGACCATGGGTGACAACATTCAATTGACAATTTTCCGGAAGTAAGGAATTTACAACCATGGGCAGAGAATCGAAAATTGAGGTTGATGCTATATCGTATCTAGCGAAATACCAAAAAGGGGAGGAGCTACTAATAGCTAGCTGAGCAGAAATTCTAACGTATTTGTAGGCGGGAATTAAAATGCATAACCACGCCTTGACATGATCGGTGAAGGTCGCTTTCTACACATGACAATGCAATCTGTTTCACAGTGAATTACGAGTCTTCACTAATAGCCAGTGACGAAAAAACTGCCGCATAAGTAATAGAAGGTTTGACCATATTAATTGGCAGCTATTGATAGAGCAAATTCAAAACACCCAGTCTTACGAGGGTCCAGTGGGGCATTTAGCTGGGAGGGGCAGATAAAAAGGGCCAAAAAGGGCCAAAAAGGGCTAATATTTGCCTCATAAGTAATAGGATCAGAATTATTTCTAAAATATTACCATACAATAATGTATGAATATAAAAAATATAAATCTGACCGGAAAAAGTGGGGCCATGCCCTTTTCTGTCTGCCTTAAAAAGTGCCGACGGGGGCCAAAATTTACCTCATAAGTAATATAAATGAAATTGGTGCCAAATGTTAGCTATGTATGAGCCGATTCTAAAAATATCAAATTTGACTGGTTTCAGTGGGGCACATCCCTAATCTGACCACTTAAAACCCACATAACAATATGATGTTAAATTTACGTTACATTTACGTAAAAATGGTCAGTCAGTTTACCATCATTTTGCTCATCTTTTTAACGATAATTTTACGTCAGGAAATGACGTTAATCTAACGTAAAGTTTACGTCATTTTTACGTTACATTTACGTCATTTTCTGACGTAAATCTAACGTAAAGTTTACGTCATTTTCTGACGTAAATCTAACGTAAATTTTGCGTAAAGTTTACGTCACTTATGTTAGATTTACGCCAGAAAATGACGTAAACTTTACGTTAGATTTACGTCAGAAAATGACGTAAATATGACGTAAAAATGACGTAAACTCTACATTAGATTAACGTCATTTCCTGACGTTAAATTTTCGTTAAAAGGATGAGCAAAATGATGGAAATCTAACCGACCATTTTAACGTAAATCTAACATTAAATAAACATCATTTTCGGATGCAATTCTAATGTCAAATGAGCAATTAAAACCTTTAATATAATCTATTATTGGTGGTTGTAATTGTAAAATTCAGTCAACCAATAACCAAATCTTCTTTAACCATATGAGGTGCTAAAGACTCCTGGCGCAAACAATTATTGAACTGAAACTGAATCGTAGGCCCCATTTCTCTCTATCTATTTCGTCCTCGAGGTTTCGGTGGTCAAACGGTTAACGCATGTTCGTTGCATCATAAGTTCCGTCATTGAATTAAGAGAGAAATCGGGTTTAACGTCCACTCAACACAAATAAGGTCATTTCGGGACTAACACATGGTTCAATTTTTTATTTCAATAATTCGCTTCCGCGTAGGGGCCTTTAGCAGTGGGAGTAAACCGGAGGACCCGGAGAAAACCCACGAGGTTGGACAGGCGACCCTACTCCTTGTCACATATTGAAATAAAACTAAACCACATGTTAGTCCCAAAATGACCTAGTGTGATTCGAGTGGAAGTTAATCCCCATTTCTCTCTATACATGTATTTATCAATAACCATTCAGAATTCTAAATGTAATTGCAACCAAACGCCAAAAAACCAGTACAACTTACATAATTATTCAACAAAATATACTACAAGTATCTATACTTTATTCAAAAAATACATATATAATGTAATAAAATACAAAAGTAGACATTTAAATTGTAACAGTTTATCCACAGCATTAAGTTGGTGACAATTTAGGAAATGGTCTTCGAGAAAAACTTTGAAAATGTGGAAATACGCCAACACATTCAGCAGTATATCAGAAAGGAAAACTGTGACGTTGACCAAATTTGATAAAAAAAAAACAAAAAAAACCCCTACGGCCTCTATCACGTTTGCTAAAGGTTTTCGAACTAGGTGGGATAATACTGGAAAGGAAATTTGTGGAATACTGAATATCTATGCTTCACACCAACTTTGAAACAAATGTGAATAAATTATAGGGCAGTGTTCACAGGTTTTGCAGCCAATCTGCGGGGGTGGGGACAAAATTTGAAAAAGATACATTAACGATAAAGAGCTGACCATTCTTGCTATGATTGTTCAAAAATAAATAATATACATGTAAAATGAAAATTTCATTCAAATTACTTCATTCTGAGCCAAGTTATCACAGTTTCTAGTTTCGACATGATGTGTGCATTGTGGTAATGAGGGCACAGGTATATTCGAGACTTGGCCTCACTTTCCCATTTTTTAATTAAATTTTTAAATTGCAGGCCAGTTAAAATCTTGAGTATCCAATGCCTTCATATTGCATACTTTTACACATTTTGTCAGGCAGTTTCATTTTGATTTTCCCTAAATTCGAATTCAACCTTGATTATGCGATTTTTCGAACAATCAGGAGCCATAATCGAGGAAGTTACGTTCGGATATGCGCGATTATGAAAAGGAACCAAGATCTTAGTGTGTAATGGTTATATATATACACATGGTTTTTTTTTTATAAATCGAATAAAAATTGTGACCTCTATAGGGACCACAAGCTAAAAACGGATGGACGTCTGGACGGACAGGGGCTACGACAATATACGTCCACATGAAAATGTGGGCGTATAAAAATTGTGACCTCTATAGGGACCACAAGCTAAAAACGGATGGACGTCCAGACGGACAAGGGCTACGACAATATACGTCCACATGAAAATGTGGGCGTATAAAAATTGTGACCTCTATAGGGTCCACAAGCTAAAAACTTGATTTTTCGTACAATCAGGGACCATAATCCAAGAAGTTACGGTCAGATACATGCCAATATCGAAAGCATCCAAGATCTTTTGGAGATAAACCTATATTTCAAGTTTCGTCAAAATCGGATAAGAATTGTGACCTGTAGAGTGTCCACAAACAATTGTGTACAGACGTCCGGACGGACCGGGGCTACCACAATATACGTCCACATGAAAATGTGGGCATATAAAAATTTTGACCTCTATAGGGTCCACAAGCTAAAAACATGACTTTCAGTACAATCAGGGGCCATAATCCATGAAGTTACGGTCCCACAAACAATTGTGGACGGACCGATGGACGTTCGGACGGACAGGGGCTACAAAAATATACGTCTACATGAAAATGTTAGCGTATAAAAAACTGTCACCTTCACAAACTAATTTGGACAAACAAACAGTCAGGGCAACGATATAATACCCCAATATTGAAATAAGGTATATACTTAATTACACCAATATTACATGTGTGATAGAATTTGTTAAACACATTACAAATATAATTTTAACACAGATTTTTGCTATTATTGATCTATCACAAAAATTTGAAGAATTTGTAAGGGTTTAAAAAGTTTCCCCGAATACTATGGCGGTATATTAGATTCAAAATTCTAACATGCTATCGTCTAATTTCTTACTTCTACTCTTGTAATTTCTAACTTCCATTCATGTAATTTCTAAATTAAGACAATGTATAATTCAACTTCTTTTTTTGTTCAGTGTAAATTTTAATTGTTTCATCTTATTTCTATTATTAAGGCGAAAAATGTCTAGTCACTTTACATGTTAAGCATGAATGGTAAACAAATTTAGAATTTTGATTTCTACCTAGCAACCATCATTATGACGTCGTTTGGTGTCGCCACCGTTCGCTCAATTTGGCGATTGAGCACCTGATCGGGACCATTCTGTTGATACAAACGACTCGCTCTTAGTCCAGTTGAATGGTTTGGTGGAGTGCTAAAATTGAAAACAACTTCGAGAGAGAGAGTCTGATGGGGTTAAACGTCCACTCAACACAAACTACATGTAGGTTCGGTATTAACATGGTTCAATTTTATTTCAATTATTCGCTTGCGCGTAGGGGTTTTTAGCAATGGGAGGAAACCGGAGGACCCGGAGAAAACCCACTAGGTTGGACAGGCGACCCTATTCCTTGTCACGTACAACCGGGGAATCGAAACCACACCAGTTGACTCAATGACATACCTTATGGTACAGCGCGCACGTGCTAACCTTTCGGCCATCCAACCCCACAAACAACATTGAACGTGATATCTATGTATGGTTTGCAAATACGATTTCAAATACGGTCGGTAAGACGCTGGCTCACTAGCCTAGCGGTAGGGTGTTTGATCCCTGCATTGGTCAAGAAAGTTCATCCAGATTTTCCGGCATGGTTCCTCCTTGTCAGTGATGCAGGATGGAGGGCCTAACAAGTACAGCTGTCTAATCGTTCCGTAGTGCCGCTGTCCGGGCAAAGTTTCCTTCGTAGCACACTGTATGGCGTATTAGCCAAGTTCGGAGTAGAATAGTAGGATGTTAAACCCCATTATATTTCATTTTCTATTTCAAATACAAGCTAAACAGCATTTGTTCATTTTTTTTAAGACAAGTGCAGGATTTGGAGAATTTTATTTGATTTTTTTTTACAGTTGAGCCAATTAGACGAAAGCTCGTTAGAATTTTGAATCTAATATACTGGCTGCAGTAGATTTTCAACTCACTGATACAACTCAGTTTAAGCCAAAGAGCGGTTATATGATACTGTGACACAGTGACAGGATATCTGCTTGAGGCAAACTATTCATAAACAATTGACTCTTACAAGATCAGACGGAAAATATTTTAAGCCTACTGCTTGTAAAGTAAAGCTTTGGCCTACATTCTGGTGAATTTTGTGCTACCATAGATACATATATAAAGTCTTTATTCTTTGCCATCTGGGTGGTTTCATAGACGAGTGTTATTGAGGAGTGTTATTGAGTTCAGTCGCTTGGTTTCAATCCCAAGTCGGTATGTGACAAATAGTTGTGTATGATAAGTAGTAATGTCATCTAGCTTCCATATACAAAGCCCTTATCAACCTTTTTATAACTTCCTCGACATGAC